TTTGTAGACTATATTATGCTGTTTGACTGAATGACACTTGGTTTTCTTTAATTTCCACAGCTAGTTCTTGTGTAAGATTGCTTAAAGTGCAAGTAGGCCATAAAGTCCTCCTTCAATTGAAAATATACTATTGCAGTAAGCCTGGTGTGGCACTGTAAGATAGATACTGGATTGCTAACTGCAAGGTCAGTAGTTCAAACTCACAAGTCCCTCTTTGGGAACCCTATACAGAGTTGCTGTGAATCGGGACTGACTAGATGGCACTTAACAACAATTACAATAAGTGCAGAAGCTGACAAAGCTACAGTCTTTAACAGTTTGCTTTGTTAATTCCCTTGAATACAGAGAACTGTTTTCATAGGATTTTCAAGCCTGTGATCTTTTAAAGTGCTTTTGGTTTGATTCAAACTGCCAACGTTATGGCTATTAGTGGAGTGCTTAATTGTTTGTACCACTCAAAGATTCCATAGTTTGTATGGAAAACAAACAAAAAATCAAATCCGTTTCTGTCATGGCAACCCTATCAGACACAGTGGAGTATCCACTTAGGGTTTCTAAGTCCAATCTTACTAGGAACAGACTGCCATGTCTTTCTCCCATGCCTTTGCTGGTGAGTTCAAACAGCCAACCTTTCCGTTAGCAGTCTAGTGCCTAACCTCTGTGCCACCAGGGCTCCGTAGATGTTTGTATGGGCCATGCTATATTTCTTTCCTGTTTTAAGTTCTCAAAAATCTAATCAAATGATAGTAACTGTTGAGTTTTCTGTCCTCCTCCCATGGGATAAAATACTAAAGAGTTGTTCATAGTTACCTATTAACAGACACTGTTGGCATTGACTTGCTATTGAGTATTAGTTTGGAATCAGAGTACTTTTTTCTCAGGTTGGGGTAGTATTCAGGTCAGTGTGGTCTTTTTTCCCTCAAACAACCAAACTTTCAAGAATGATACTTCAGTTGATCTCTACTTTATTAAGCGTTCTTTATTAGCTTGGATATTTAGGTAGTCATTTGCATTCTTTTAATTGTAATGGAAAATGGTAACAGACCAGCTGTTGCCAGGATTAGGTTCTTTCCCAGAGGAAATCTGGTCTGGGACTTTTACAGAGCCATAAAGTGTATACCCCAATGAGAATTCTATTGTAATGTTGGAAAAAGCAGATGTATAAAGCTTGCTTTCACCATTTTGGAGTAAAGCCAAACCACTGGATTGGCTATGGGGATAGTTGCCAGTGTGCCATATCAGGGTATCCTGATTGTGTGTCAGAGGACAATTGTGCACCACACGTTTTCACTGGCTCATTTTCCAAAGTACTTTTGGGTGGGCTCAAACCTTCAACCTTTCAGTTAGTAGTAGCATTAACCATTTATACCACAAAAGATCACCACTTGTTTGTCAGTTTGTCATACTGTGGTGGCTTGCCTGGTATGGTAGAAGCTCTGTCACTGGTATTTTAAATATCAGCAGGGTCATCCATGCTGGAACAGGTTACAGTGGAGCTTGCAGATTAACATAGATTTGGAAGAAGAAGAGACAGATTACTTCTGAATGTTTCACCCCACTGAAAACCTTATTATGAATAGCAGCGGAACATTGTCAGATATAACACCAGGAGATGAAAATATGAATATCAGCAGATCATTAACATATACATTGCTAGAAGATGAGCCCTTCAGATTGGAAGGCACTGAAAAAAACGACTGGGAAAGAACTGCCTCTTCAAAGTAGAGTTGACTATAATGGAATAAAGCTTGCGGGACCTTCAAAAGCTGATGGGCCACATAGAGGAAAAACCACAGCAAATGCCCATTAATAATCGGAACATGTAAAGTTTGAAGTATGAATCTAGGAAAATTTGAAGTCATCAAAAATGAAATGGAATGCATAATGATCGGTACCCTAGGCATTAGTCAGCTGAAATGGACCGGTATTGGTATGAATCGGATAATTGTACCGTTTGCTATGCCTGAAAAGACAAATTCAAGAGGAATGGTGTTGCATTCATTGTCAAAAAGAACATTTCAATATCTAACTTGAAGTACGGTGCTGCCTGTGATAAGATAATAGCCATATGCCTACAAGGAAGATTTATAAATTCAAATTTACACATCAACCACTAAAGCCACTATGATGAAGAATTCTACCCACTTCTTTGCTCAGAAATTGGTCAAACATGCAATCAGAATGCATTGATAATTACTGATGGTTGGAAGCAAAGAGAAATGATGCTGGAGATTACATGATAGAATATTTCAAGACCAATGACTTCTTCATTGCAAATGCCTTTTTTAAACAACATAAGAGATATACACATGGACTTCACCAGATTGAAAAGTCTGTGGGAAAAAGCAGTGGAAAAGTTCAGTATCTGCCAAAACAAGGCCAGGGACCTACTGTTGACCAGATCATCAATTGCAAAAATATAAGTTTGGGAAGAAAATTAAAACAAGTTTCTTCTTTTTTTTTAACTTTTTATTGTGAATTAAGTGATAGTTTACATGGGAGAACATTAGCTATACATTCATCCTATTATATTCATTTCATTGCAATGATTAGAATCCCTTCCATGCATCATCAAACAACCAAAGGGTACACCCTGCAAACCTGCCCCTCCAGCCTCCAGCCTTCAGCACACAGGCCCTCTCCCTCCCTGAGTCTAGAGTCTCCTGGCGCTCCATCTCTCCACGTCATCGTCTCTGCCTCCATCTCTGGTGTCACTGCTTCTCTGGATAGGGTCCCACACTCCGCTCTTCTCCCTTGATGGTCCCAGGGACCGCCACTCCTGCACTGACAAGTCAACACTCCCTCCTTTTGTTACAAAAACGTCCACCTTTACATTTCCAACACTCACAGTCAGACCTGATAGTAATTATTCACTATTGAACCACAAGAGTCTTTTCACCAGCCCCGTCAGGTTGGAAACCACTCAGTGGAGATTCTACATTCCCCCGCACCCTCTGGAACTAGGCTCCCTCTTGAAAACTTAAAACAAGCTTCTTCTTGTTGTTAAGTGCCATCGAGTTGATTCCGACTCGTAACAACCATGTACAGGGTTTCCAAGGAGCACCCTGGTGAGTTTGAACCAGTGACCTTGTGGATTGAAGTCCAGTGCGGATCCTACAGCATTATACCAGGAGCCAAAATATCCCACCTGAATTTAGAGGTCATCTCAAGAATGGATTTGATGCATTAGATACAGATGACTGAAGACCAGAAGAGTTGTGCTATTACATCAAGAACATCATACAGGAAGAAAGCGTAAGTCATTAAAAGCCCTTTTCAGTTCCAGCAAGCAAGGTTGTATCATCTTTATATCACAGGTTGTTAATGAGTCTTCCTCCAATCCTGATGCCATGTTCTTCTTCATATAATCATAGCTTTTGGAATTATTTGCTCAGCATGCAAATGTGTAGATCAAGACAAAATGTGGATAGCTTTGTAAAGAGTGGATATTCCAGAACACGCAATTTTGCTTATGATGGAATTGGACATAAACCAATAAGCAGTTGCTTCTTGTTGTTGGGTGCCGTCAAGTCAGTATCGACTCATAGCGACCCTATGCACAGCAGAATGAAACACTGCTAGTTCATAATAAAAGGAGCTCTGGTAGCATAGTGGTTGCGAGTCGGGCTGCTAACCTCAGGGTCAGCAGTTCGAAACTACCAGCCATTTCATGGGAGAAAGATGAGGCCTTCTGTTCACATAAAGGTTTATAACCTCAGAAACCCTCTACAGAGTCGCTATGAGTAGGAACCAACTCTACGGCATACTACCACCACCACCAGACCATAATAAAGGGAACACTTGACTGGTTTAAAATCAGGAATGCTGTGTGCCAGGGTTATATCCTTTCACCATATTTATTATTCAGTCTCTATGCTGAATAATCAGAGAAACTGAATTGTATGAAATAGAATGTGGCATCCGGATTGGAGGAAAACTCATCAACAACCTTAGATATACAACCTTGTTTGTGGAAATGAAGAGGACTTTACATACATATTAATTAAGATCAAAGACTATAGTCATCTGTGTGTATTGAACCTCAGTGTAATTCTTACAACTAGA